AGAAGACAATATTATATGGTTTCAAAGGAAGTGTTTGACATGAAACGGGGGTTCTGGCCACAGATGAATGATAATTAATGGGTATACAGGCTGTATGCAGTGCTGTCATGTGACCACAGGGTGGAGAACTGGGACTTTTGATTTTGATTTACAAGACGAAAAAAACCACAGGATCACCGGAGATGACTGTGTCTGACACCTCAATAAGACAGGACAGTGACATTATTGAACACACCCCTTTCAATACAATAGACAGGATGGATATGATAGATATTCAGATTATATGACTAACAACTTAGATTCTGATTATTTGTCTATGTACTTAGAAGTTTTTTAAATCTTTGTCAAAAATTGCTTGTTGATTTTTTTTAAAATGTCTGTATGACTGTGTGACAGTAGATTGGAGATGTTTATATTTTATATAATATTATAATGTCATATTGCTTAAATGTCTGTCAGCTGATTGTACAGAAAATAACTTTTTAAAAATCCATGTTGGATCAAAACACTGTCTTTCAATAAATGCTGAAATATATTCAAGTGTGCAGATTTCTCTTCTGATCTGAAATGATTTGTTGTCATCTCATCTCATCATCCGTCAGAGGCACAAGCATTTGGACTAAAAGGTCACAGTCGTAGGTTTTAGAAGATAAAACATAAAGAATGAGGAAGAGCAGTCCAGTCCATTCCAGGCAGACATATTGTACACCAGAAACTAACTTTGGGTTTGACTCATGTAATGAAGGATTTTGGAATAGAAAAACATAACTCTAAGTTGTTAGTCCTATTTATCCAACTGCCAACCTCAAATGCCTGGTGACATTTGATACATTTCTTAAAAACCAAAACCTTAATTAGCAACACCAACAATTTGGCATTTGACTAGTGACATTTCTGTCAATTCTGTCTGTTCTTTCTTTATAGCGTCTACACTTGCAGTTGTGGTTTTTTGCTTTTACCATTAAATGTTACAAAATGTTAAGATGTATAAACTAAGGCTGGCTGAGATAAAATGAAGGATCATTTTCCAAATGACAAGACAGCTTTAAATTGTGCTTAAGGGGGTTTCCACATATAGAATAATCTCAGATATTCTCTGCATTGGACTTCCTTATGATAAGTCAGTAGAAGAAGATCCTGAAGTATCTCTGACTTTCATGCAATGTGCAATACACCAGTGATCACCAACATTTATCATCTGATGTATCCAACAGCCCCATCAAATGAAGTCTAGTACCCTGGTATTGCCCGTCATGTCCTAAATATGTTGTTAATTGGATTAAAAAATTTATCTCATTTCAATTAAATATATTAAACTCAATATCTCAGATTAGTCTATGTTGTCAAGTTTGCATTTACTCTACTGTGCGTTTCATTCCATTTAGCCTATATCTCAGAATTTCAAACATTTATCCATTACCTTTGGCCAACTATTTTAACCGTTTATCCATTACTTTTGCTAACTATTTCAACCATAATCTATTACTTTTAGGTAACTATTTCAACCATTTGTCCGTTTCTTTTTGCTAACTATTTTATATGTTTAGGCTATCCATTACCTTTTTGTTACCTATTTCAACTTAATCTATACTTTATGCTGTCTTTTCAACTGTTTATCTATTACTTTTAGCTGATCATTTCAACTTCTTTGGTCACTTGCTAACTAGCTTTCACACACTTTCACACACTTTCACACAAATCAGCATCAAAGCAATTTGTCCACTGAAAAGTAGCAACTTTGATTTGATTAAAAAGTAAGTTGAGTTAACAAGTCAAGCTATCCATGGACTAGCAAATGCAAAGGTAGGCATATTGCAGAACATAACCCATCTTATATTCCTGCTCTCATGAAGAGTTTTTTCAGACAGGTTCTCCGCATTCCACCTTTGATTTCCAAACTTCGTGCAGATAGTTAAAGTGTCTGCCATTATTGAGAAATAGGTCAGTGGAACAACAAATCAAAGAGACTCTAACTGGCGGAAATTAATGTCTATCAGTTGGTGAGCTGACAAGGATGGGTGACACTGTTTGCCAGCTGAGGGCCAGCCTGAGGCTCAAGCACAGGCAGTGACCCAACCTTGTTAAATGAGAACGACAACAAGGATACACAGAGAGCAGTGATGGCCTGCTTTGTCCTCCTTCTCTCTGTTCCCTGAATAGCTCTCACACAAAGGATATCGTTATTTCTCCTCTAATTACCAGATGGAGAGCTATTTGTCTGCCTCTCGCTCCTCTGCTCTCACCCCCAGAAATAAAGTGCTCTGTGGTGACAACCCTCAGCAGTTATGAAACTGCTTATGTCTGGTGGACAACGGGGCCCTAGTGAGCCCTCATTTCTTCCTTTAGCTCATACAGTATGAATCTGACTTGAGTCACCGCCGGGATTCTTTCATTCATCTGCACTAAATCTGTGTGTTTATGTGATGGCCAATGTGTCTGGTCCCTTCCTGTCCCTGCATGGTTTTGTTGCCAAAACCAATCATGTCTTAGGCATGTCACCAATTTCACAGTCTTGGCTTTAGGCGGATGTATCTAGGCCACAAGACACTCTCCATCTGCTCTTCTGTGGCCAAAAGCCTTGGGAGGTCACTCAGAGAGAGAGAGAGAGAGAGAGAAAGAGAGAGAGAGAGATCCAGCCAGGGATTAGGCTGGTACAGCAGGTCCAAGGGGAGGTGGGATTAGAAACCAGGAGCAATAATACACACATTGTGGAAAAACACACTGGCTGGCCATGCTTATGTGTCCATGTAACCCCATTCAGACCACGTACAGTAGGGCTCTCAATGAACAAACGTGAATGTTTAAAATGTTTGCTACCAAATGGAAAGAATTAACAACATGCTTTCCAGGATCACACCTTTTGGTAGGATTGCTGACAAGGTCACCAGCTCTTAGTTTGTACATAGATGACCCACATGCATCCATGGACACAGGTGACAAAAAAACAACAGCATCTAGAAAAATAGGCTGAACTGATCTCTGTCTTCATTTTAACAGGAAGGGTTTTGCAATGTGCAGCAGCTTCCCTGCGAGTTCCCGGTGTTTTGTTCCGCAGAGATTTGTGTTCCCTGTATTCAGCATATTATGCAGTATTAAATCTCACCTATACCCTCCTCTAACCCTGTCATCTGGAAAAAGCCCTGACCTCGGGGTGTGCCTGTGTTGAGAGAGAGAGCTGGGGGAGGACAGGTGTGACTCAGCACCACCTGTGAATGATCCTCTCAAAATCAATTATGTGGTTGTTTTTTATTGTTTTTTTGCCTTTAAATCAATTTGAGAATCAAAGTCAGTTCAGTGTTTCCATCTACAACATTGATGGGACAAACTCGGATGGAAGGCTGTCAACAAGGAGGATTTGGTAAACATCTCATTGGGAGATTAACAAAGAGGGGGTATTTTCTGTGTGTGTGTGTGTGTGTGTGTGTGTGTACGTGCTTGAGAGGGAGGGAGGGGAGAGAGAGAGAGAGAGAGAGAGAGAGAGAGAGAGAGAGAGAGAGAGAGAGAGAGAGAGAGCTTCCCAGCATGGGGCAGAGGGAGGGGGTGAGCTGCCTGGTGGAAGGGACTGAAATGTCCTTCACATAAACCGGTGACAAAGTGGCGAGCAGCGGCCCCCTGGCAGCAGAGATCACAGCCAGCACAGAGGGAGACAGACACAGAGAGAGAGCAGCAGACCCGAGCACCGAGCACCGCGCACAGGCGACGCATCCACAGCTACACACCCGGGAGACACAGAGAAAACACTCACCATCAAAAAAACATCACAAGAGAGGAAACTAATCCGTACGGAGCATCCTTTTCCCCACCGACAGGTAAAAAGAAATAAAAATATAGACGATGACGATCTAAACTGTTTTACCAAATAGATTAAGAGAGATCAACACCTGGTTGAACAGGTCCTCGCTGCTATTCTTAGAGTAAAATTTTGAAGGATGCAACATCATTATCACAGCAAAATTACAGGTTTATATGAGGATATTGCATTAAAATATTGTGGCACAGCTGCTACAGCAGATGAAAAAAATACCATGAAGTGCCTTGAGGTCAGTGTGAACTCACTGAGAACCAACAGACTCCATAAAAACTGGTTTCTCACGGGTTTTGACAACTGCGTGATGTTTACCTGTTTAAATCTCAGCTTTTGTTAAGATGTTATTAATATGTTGTAAATTATATAGCCTTACTTTTAATATGTTTTTCCACGAGCTGGTGTCCACGGATGTAGCTTATTATAAATGATACCGTCCAATAAGTTATGGAATTTCTAACCCTAACCCTTTCCAATGTTGTACCAACTGACTCACACTTAATAGGCTACATAATTTTACTGGTAGCCTATTTTTAAGACTCCAGCCTATGGCCATATTCATTTTAATTTGTTTGACACATAAGTAGCGCAATAGTAAATCAGTTAAAACTAAAGTAATCTAATGTGCTAAATCTCTCAGTATGTTCAGCCTTTTTTTATGTTTTTGTTACTGTAGCCTATATCTCTGTTGTGTAAAATCAGGGCCAAACCGGACCTGTCCAGGTCCATGCGGCGATGTCCAGATTTGTTTCATTCGTGTTATGTAGGCTACACATCGGCCAGCTGCTTGTCAGATTAAACAGCTAGGCATGTCATCCAGCTCAGCACGGTGCCTCAGTCCCACCTAATTAGGCTCACCCAGTCTACTAGGTCACCGCACGCAGAGCACACACGGAGCTCAACAGCCTGGATGTCTCAATCACACTCAATAGACCTAACTCACTGTATGGCCTAATGATTGAAACAAGGAGGCGTGAGAATAAATTTGTTTGATTTGATTGCTTGAAGTGAAGTTTTAGCCTATGTGTATTACCGAGAATTATTTCTTTTGTGGAGCTAATTTATAGTCTATTCATTATATTATATTGCATTAGATTGTGTGCGCATAATCTCTGAGTTTTAAGCCTGTGTTGTATTTGGCCTGCTGCAGTCCAATGTACTGATCTCTTTTCCAGACTTGTTTGTGGCTGTAGAGATGGATGTTACCTCTCGCTCTCTGCTATTGATTTGCGCATACTTGGCAGCTGCGCTGATTGGTGGAACCCGCTCGGAGGGGGTGTGTCTTCAAGACGGCAACCACAAGGCCACGCCCAGCCCGGAGCCACACCTGAGGGAGTGTGGGCTGTATGCTGACAGTGAGTGACTGTGGGTTCGTCTTGAAACACTGTATGTTTAATGGTGTAATGACAGCCTGTGATGAAAACATCAAACTGCATCTGTCTGAAATGTTTTCCTGTCCTTTGCTGCTTACAGATAGCTGCTGCACAGAAGAAGACATCCAGGATATCTCCTATGTTCCCTCTGCTAGCAATAAGAATGAACCCTGGGACAAATGTGGGCTTCTGAGCTCTGAGTACGTCATTCCTTGTGTACAGTGTCGCTCATAATGTTGCATTATATTGTCTTTCAGCTCATTGCTTTTGTTGTATAACAAAACTTATAAAGTATAAACTTCTAAAAACATGAGCTTTCTACCCTGACCTGAACTGTAACTGAAAAAGTTAGCAACTAACGCTAAAGCTAGTAAACACAGTGAAGCATTTGGGCACTAAAGGGCCAGATATTTCCCAAAGGAGGTGGAGACAAAAAAACAGAGCTAAAACGAGTGTGACTACATTTGTTAGGTGGCCAGAGAAAAACTCCAAGTTAATGCTACTGTTGCTCTATATCTGCTGGATGTGTGAACAGGCAACTGTGTATGTTAGTGTTGTGTTTAGAGTACATTTCTATTGCCCCCAAGAGGCCAATATCAACTACTGGGTCAGGTTTACCTGCGTCGTGGCCAACTATGCTGAGTCAGCTTCCCCAGAGTCAATAAAGGCTTAAATACAGAATCATTAAATCATGTTATACTAACTGGTCCCCTCTCTCTCCTCAGGTGTGAAGGATTCCTGAAGCGCGTGTCATGTTTTTACCGCTGCTCCCCTGATGCCGCGCGTTGGCCTCATCCCCACCGCCGCTCATACATCCAGGCTGTGCCGCTCTGCCACAGCTTCTGCCGTGATTGGTGAGGCTGCCAAACACATTGCTAAGCAAAAGTCAAAATCAGTATCCGTCTGTAAGGTTGTCAAGAGTGAGATTACCAGCAACAGTATGCGGTGCTGTCCATAATAAGTGTCTAATAAACAGCATAACACTGTATGACACAGGTAAGACCATGGTCACATATATCAGGCTTTTCTTATAGAGTAAAAAAATGTGTTACAGTGGCTTCCAAGCTGGCGTTCATAGACAACCAGGGTGTTCCCAGCTAAGATGAGAAAGCTTTGTGTCGTGGTTGCTTTGGTTTTAGACATAAATCGAGATCCTGAATTTTGACAAAAAACAATTTGTAGCCTAGTAGTGTGTACTAGCAGTGGTTGTTTTCATGAAAAAATATAAATATTTGAGGTGCATGTAGCCTATTTATATAGGCTTATGGTCTTAATGCTAAGCTAAGCTAACTGACTGCTGGCTGTAGCTTCATATTTAGGAGCTTCATATTTAGGAGGAGTGGTATGTTCTTATCTAACTCTCAGCATGAAAGAAAACACAAACACAGTGTACCTCAAATGGAAAATTGGCACCTCAGTTATCTGATATACAACATGAATCTTAGGAGAAAACATTCAAATGAAAGAATTACAGTTTGATGTTTTGCCATTTCAAATATTTTACTTTGAACATTTACATACATCTCTTCAGGTTTGATGCCTGCCGGATGGACATGACGTGTGCTCGTAACTGGGCCAGAGACCCCAGGGGACAGAACTGCACTGGAACCTGTGTTCAGTATCAGCAGGTAGGCTTTCATCATCTGTGATTTGCTTCTTACATAAGCTGGGACTGTTTTGTTTGGGCGGGCAGGCTTCCAATATAATATTCCAGTATAACAACCAGCTGCTTTAGCAAGCACATAAACTGTTGGTCACGGCTTACTTCAGATGGTACTGGCAAGCAGAGGAGGTGTCACAGGTTTGAACCCAACTGACAAACCTCAAAGCTTGTCATTTGAGCGATGCGGCGCAGGTAGAAGGTCAGATACTGTGTCACGGTTTGTGCCAGCATGTTGGCAGTCAAGAGAGTGGGCGGTAAGTGAAAGGGTTAACAGCGCAGGGCGGCGCTGTGGGCTGAAGCATGAAAAGGTTCGGTCCCGCTTCAGTGGGCAGAGGCCAGCTGGGTGATTTAAAAAGAGGCTGAGTTACTGAGGGGCTGGTGTGCAGCCGGGGGGCCGAGAGCATCACACACCGCATGCCATGACACTTCCTGTCTATCTATCTATCTATCTATCTATCTATCTATCTATGTGTCCCTTTTGCCTGTCCTTCTTCCTCTTTCTCTCCCGTTTTATCTCTCTCTCTCTCACACACACACACTGGAAGAAAGGGACACGCTGACAAATGAATGCACGCCTCCAGACACTAGACCTAAGGCACTCTGGTGGATATTAGATGATTACTGGAAATGACAGATTTGTAGTAAGAGAAACTGTGTGTGCGTGTGTGCCTCTACGCCTGTGTATTTTGGTGCTCTGTGTGTTTGGATTGGCCCATTTTCATGTAGGGCGCCACTAATGGCACAAAGTAGGCTTGAATAAATTTAAGTAGCTCTAAAAAAAAAAAAAAGTGAGAATAGAGTGTTTGAATACAAAGAAATGAGTCACCGCATTCAGCACATTCGACAAATCAGCCCTCTTAGAGAGACAGCAAACAAGTGCCTGCCTCTCGCAACATTTTTCACCAAGGTCATCGCAGTAAACCTTCATTTTGCTTTCTCTTCAGCCGACAGAGATGAGAGATTTCACAGTGGACTACCTCGTGGTCTGAGCTCACAGCATTTAGTCCACCTCAGGGCTGACAGGAAAGCAAAACTGCAAACAAACATGCACAGACATACCAATCACTGTCATCACTCGAAAACCTCTCACAACTCTGAACGTAGAGCTTTACATTCAAATTATATAAAATATACAGAGAGAGATTTGCTAATAAAAATCATGAAACCTTTTAAAGTCCTGAAACGTCCACCCGATGGATAGAAACCAAATGTAGCTGTGTGTGTGCCTGTGTTTGTGTAAGTGTAGAATAAATATACACAGATACAGTCAGGATTTGTAAATGCTGACTGCGGTAGACGCCAATTTGCATAGAAACTAGCTAATACATTTTAAGGCACACATAGGCAGACACACACACACGCACACACACACACACACACATCGGCTGCATGCAAAAATCCCTCTGGCACTCTGTGTCTCACTCTCTCTTTGTACTCATTGGTAACATTATTTGCAAGCCAAGGTCTGATTTATCTCAGACACTCTTCCTGCTCCGGATTTTGTGGGAATGAGGTTACATCTGCAAAGAGAGGCCGTCTGTGCTGGCACAAAACACATCTAGAGTGGCATCCGCGGATCACATATTGTGACATAATGGTCTGAGGACAGGAAAGATTATCATATGAGGTGACTGAGCAATGTGGTTTTATAGCATTTTTTCAAGTAAGAGGGTAATATATTTGTGCTGGGGGGTAGAAATATATTACACTGTAAGTGCTTTTTGAAATACCAGATATATAATAAAACAATTTATCATAATTAATACTAAAAATAAAGCCAGCATACATGATACTTTCATTGCAATTTTTTTTTTCATTTACTTGCTGATTTCACGGGGACAAATGCACGAGACATTGCTTCATAAAGTATACAAAGTTGATGCCATGCACACAGGTTTATATCCATAACTAATTTGCAACCCCTGTCCCTGTTTTTTTTTTATCTTTTAATTACCTTGAAAAAGGGGTAAACAAGAGACTGCTTTTCTTTACATCTTGCTTGCCACAGACTAACACAGTAATGAGGAAGATTTCTCACATACGTTCAATGCTTTGTCCTGACCTTAATATTCTGTTAGTAAAAGGTAAGAGCTATTACCTCCCCTGAAATCCCCCATGCATGAATTCAACATGTTTGTTACAGAGTAAAAGTATTTAGCTATGATCTGACGGTAGGATATTACAGGACATAAAAGTTCATGTAGGTTTTTCTCTAACATCAGTTTAATTGTTAGGTGGATGTGACCTTGGTTCCTAAAAGAACATTACTGTTCCCCAGTATTTCATCATCCTTTTTAACAATATGCGCATAACGTTTCTATAGCTACAGCAATAGAGGTAGCCTATGCCCTATATTTCCAGGCTGAGCCTGAGAGTCCCCCTTAATCACAAAGTTGTTAACCCGTCTTCCCTAACCTCTCGTCTTCTTCATTGCAATAGAGAATTTCTACAAGAAGAAACTTATCTTTTATCACTGCCAACCAGTTAACAGGTCTTAGTCCTTTCTCTCTTTCTCATTCCTTTTCACAGTACGTGTAATATCATGGGATTTGGACAGCGAAGGGCAGAATTGAATAAGATAAGGATGGGAAGGACAGGAGAGAGCCCCAGGAAATTTCTGTATCTCAGTTATTCGATCACACCATGTCGTCTAAAGCCACTTGTGCTTGTACTGAATTAGCTTTGGCAGCAAACCATGTCTGCCTGGGGAAGGACAGAAATGTGTGTGTGTGTGTGTGTGTGTGTGCGCCCCTGTGTGTATTATGGGGTCGCTGCAATAACACCTAAGTGTCAGACAGAGAGTATATGTAGTGGAGAGAAATAGCCGTCATTCTCTTTGTCCTTCGAACACGGTAAATATATTACAGCTTTTTCTTCTCTGAGCACCCTGTATGACTCAGTCTTAATCCCCCAACAGACAGGAGGATGAAAAGAAGCAGACGTTGGGGTGGGGGTGTGCTACAGCGAAACAAGCAGAATAAGAGAGGTACACAAACAGTGAGTGCTGCAATAAGCAAGAGAAGAAGAAAATGTGATGGGGAGATAGTGGAAGTTTTGTAGGGGACAAAATGAGCTATAGTAGGACATAGAGACGGTGACTTGGCAGCACATCTTAATGACTGCTTATGAGGCCGTCCCTAGAGATATAACGGGAGCTTAAACACAGAAAAGCACAGCATGTGTCACTGAAACTTCACTAATTAGCTTTCCAAACTATTTCTAAGCGTGCGGGCCTACGCCATTTAGTGTTAAACAGCTTAAATGTTGAATTGTGATTTGTTTTTTGCAGCGTTATGCAATATCCCTTTTAATCCTCATCCTTGTAAGAAAGGAGTATCATTTTTCATGCTCCAGAAAACATAAAGCTAATGTCAGCAGTAACTGGAGTTTTTCCTCAAAGTATAACTTTAGAGAGATTGAACGCTTTAATGAATTTTCTGTCAGATAGCACCAAAAAAGGTGCTGGAAGTGACCTTTCCGATTACTTTAGATTTGTCCATCTACTCTGTGAAGCTTGACAGAATCGTCATTCTACCAAAAAGATGGCACAGAGATTAAGTCTTTCAGACGCCAGTGTGAGCTTTTCAAGGTCATCAAGTGTTAAAATTTGCTCTCAAGGCTGAGGTGGAGACGAGGTGGGACGAGCAAGAGAGGAAGACAAAAGCCGCTTGCGAAAGCAGCTGCCAGGTGCCTGTAGCCCCCTCTCACACCCTCAACACAGAGGGTGTTTGTTTTCAAGGCTGGCGCTGCCCTGAATGGCCAAGTCAATTATTCCAAAAGATGTTTACAAGCAAAGAAAGGCTGTACTTGGTGTGTGCTGCAAAAAAAGCAATTCATGTGCAAAATGTTTTCTAAATGGAATACCAGTGTGGAAAAACTGTACTTAACCAAATGTGACTGGTCATTAAAGAGCTATCCCAACTCTAACAGTTATCAGTGGTGGAAAATACATTTACTCAAATATTATACTCAAGTACAATTTTCAGGTACCTGAAAATTACTTGAATATTTCCAATGTGTGCTACTTTATACTTCTACTCCACTACACTTCAGGGGGAAATGTTGTACTCTTTACTTCACTACATGTAACGGCTCATTTCAAAACATATTTTTGGCTGATGAACTGTAATGTGGTATTTTAGAAAGGCCTTGCATACCCACTCAGGTGTTCAGTTATGTCCTTGTGTCCTCAGTTATGTCCTGACCTACTCGCGCAAGGCTGTGCTGGGTTTTTTGTGGGCTGTGAGGTCACCAAGTACGGATAGGGATGATAAAGGAATTTTTTTTTTTTATCTTTTATTATCTTGTGCAAATGAGATTAAAACATAGGTAATAATCTTTGGACCTTGGGGGCTCTGAAAGGGACCATTCTGCCTAATGAGTACGTTCTGCTGGTAATGCTTCTGTTCTTTTACTTTTAAGTAGAATTTAAAATGCAGGACTATTTTATGTACTTTTACTTTGTGGTGTTCTTTCCATTACCCATGATTGCCAGCCATCATTTTGTCAGTGGAGGTAGATATCTCTTCACTTCCTCTAAATATTTTATGTCTGTGTGTGTGGTATGTGTTCATGTAGATGTACCAGCACGGCAGGGATCTCTGCGAGAGCCTGTGGGGGGACGCCTTCATGACAGTGGAGGATGAGCCCGAGGAGGTGGGAGAGGCAGGAGAGGTCGGAGCGGAGGGTGACGGCAGTCGCCCCTGCGGCTGCCTGACCCTCAGTCCCTCGGATAAGGACGTGATCGCCGCACTCAGGGCACAGCAGGATGACCCGGAGGAGCTGGATACCACCAAGACTGGCCTGCCTCAGTACCGTGCCCCTTGCCAGGCTAAGCTTCCCCTGCAGCCAAGGAGCAGCAGGAAGGGGAACTCTGTGCTGCGTAAACGCTCGATCGTGGTGGACGACGTGGAGGGGAGTGGGAGCGGCTTGTAGAGAGGCGTGATAGATGGAAATGTATTTAGAGATAATTGTCTAGATCTTAACACACAAAATCTATCTCTTGAAATGGAGTTGTTGCTCCCCTAACTACCCTTACCACACAACCTAAGCTCTCATTATAATTCTCATCACATTCTACATATTAGTCTCTACGGTTTTAAATAATACTGTATCTGGTATTTGAACAACCTAAAAAGCCAGAAAATTCAAAAAAAAAAAAAAAACTATTAAAGAGAACACTACTGAATGATCCAGTATATTAAAGGCAAATTCCTCTATTCTGCAAGGGCTCTGATTTCAATAATAAACATATTGATAATGTCCCATAATCGCTGCACAAATGTTTTATTGCCACCTCACGAGGTGACTTTTCTTTATCAGAGTCAGGTATTTGATTTGCTTTTACTGACATTATGATATAAGGTGTGTGAAGTCGTGCACATGGGAAATGTAAAGTCACTACAGTTATTAGCGCTTGTGCATGAATCAAACATGTCACCCTTAACCAGAGGACTTTTCATGACAGTGTCGTAAACATGATGTAGCTGCACCAATACTTCACTACCCTGCCCCTCGTTTCAATCATCTAGATGACTTTAATCTGTGCATTAGTCTATTGTAAAACGCAGATCTTACTGTTGTGATGCTTTTTCGTGCAGTCTACACGTCATAAGGTATATGTTAGTGGAGAAGGTCACGCAGAGTAATGATGATACTTAATGTAACTTAGGCTTTCTAACAGAGACTACTGGCCTAGACATAAGGGATTTTGGTATGATTCAGAAACAATGTCTGCCTGCCAGAAAAGATCTGCAGAGGCAGCTGAGGTTGTTCTGGTAGTTTGATCATGTATATCACCGATGTGGATGTTTCTTTTATAATTAACTCATGTATTTCTAGACTGCACTGTTCCATGTAAATGTTTTGTAAAGGGAAACTGATTTGTCTGATTTATGGAAAGCTTGCTGTGGTTTATGTTCTCAATAAACATTTCTAAATGCCGTCCTGAGCCTGCCATGGTCCTTCTGGCTGCACTTTGCTTTGTGTTAAGGTTGGTTTGGTCGAGTTTGCATTCATACTTCTCCCACTTGGAGTGGCAGAAGCTGGACTTTTCCACTGCTTGTGCATTACTTGTTTCAACTGTTATTAATTTATTTTTAGCTAACAACTGCTTATCCATTACTTTCAACTCTTTCAGCCATTTCAACTATTTCAACTCCCTTGCTTGCTTGTCAACTAGTTGTCGCACACTCTCGGCTGCAACCATAAATGTAAATAAAGATTGCAACATGTGGCATGTGGGGACAGGTGTTTTACAAAGAATCAACATCACACCAATTTGTAATCCTGCAGTTTATTTTCCTTCTTAACGCAAATATTCAGATATATTTTGTAATCAAATCGCAATTTCTATTTTCTAGTTGAGTTCACTTGAGTTTCGAGTTCACTTTCCATGTACCTCCGGGTAACAGCATGAGTGCTCCCTGGGGTGCCCTGGTTGGGAATCACTGGTGTAATATGTGTGGAAACATTTTAGGGTTTTATTTAGTGCATTTGTTTGTCCTAATATAAATGCAGTTTGACATTGTCCTAGTTAAAAAGTAATGAAATCAAAGCCAGCAACCCTATACACCACCCCTCTCTGGTGATAGGAGCAGACAGTGTCCATGCAATGTCTTCTCACCACTGTCAGCCCTCAATTTACTGATACAGCATGACAGGTGTTTTTACCCTCCCATCCAGACAGCTGTCACTCAGTCTCACCCTTCCCTAACCACTGCTTTAAGGGAGAAATTCAAATGGTCATATATTTAAATAAGTATCAGGATTTATTTTGACACTGTCAAAGTCTGATTTTATTATACAGGCACTATTTTAAATAAATGCCTTTTGGGTTTGGAAGGATTCAAATTCTTCCAGAGATTCAGCTTTGCAGCAATTGAACTGACAGCAAGACATCATTTGAATCCAGCCAATAATCCCACCCCATAAAGCAGGCCCCATGAATACTGTTTAAATTAACCAACAGTTATCATCACAATGTGGCATATGTCTCTTAAAAATAATTGAATTAAAAGTGACTTGAATCTTACACATAAATCATCTTGCAGACGTGTTTCTCAGTGAAGCAGAGTGTGCCCCCTGCAGGGGAAAATCCAGTGAACTCAAGCTGTGTGACATGTTGATGCTGCCGCACATTACTTGACATTTTTCTGTAAGGATGGCATTGTGTGTGTGTGTGTGTGTGTGTGTGTGTGTGTGTGTGTGTGTGTGTTTGTTTGTTTGTTTTTGAAAGCATAGCAGCTATTTAGACCATACACAGCATTATAAATACTTTATTTGGAACCTCAACTTAGAAAAACAAATCAGCAATACTGTCCCTCTAGCAACTAAAAGAGGTGGTGTACCACAACATTTATCCTTAATATATTAATGTAATAATTATAATAATACATTTTATATTTGATCCTTTTTGTTTATTTCTTTGTTTTTAATACTTTTTTGAAATACACAAATTTGGGATGAGAAAAAGACTGCTATCTCTAAATTAGACTACAGACTGCCTTCAGAAAAAAAGAAAAATTCCTCACCCTCTCCCTTTTCTGACCTCTCTCCCTCCCTCCCTGATAAGTTTCATACAGTCCCTGATTGAAGTGAAATACATAATGTATTTTAATCCTAGAAGCGGTGCAGACAGGCAGGTTTGCAGCTATAAACATGAATAATGAATGCACTCTCCCTGTATTAGGGATAACAATAGAGAGCTTTTTAAAAACATTGTCCCTTCTCTGAACAGAAAACCCACACTTACCTAAAGCGTTAAAGCCATAGGAGGAATAATTTGCAATTTAAATGCACACACAATAACACACTTCTGCACCTACTGCAGACCAACAAGTTGTCCATTCAAAGACCAGGTCCTGCAGGCCAGTCTCAAGTCCGCTGTTTGAGAATGAATTAAGGAATTGACACAACACACACAACTCTTCATTTTAGTAACAAAAAATGTCCCCTTTTGTAAATGATAAATTGTGTGTGTGTGTGTGTGTGTGTGTGTGTGTGTGTGTGTTCATTATCATCATTGTCACATCATGTTTGAAAGTAGGACAGCTGTCATTTGTGTTAAATAAACCTCTCGTTTGCGTTTAGCGATTTAGCTGCTGTTCCAGTGTTATTCCACCAGATGGCAATGTGCGCCTACCAAAACCCTTCAAACCGCACTGTGATTCTGTACATTATGTGGGAATCTAGATATAGACCTGCTTTCCAGGCCACTCCTCTGCTGTAGTTTTAGCACACCAACATATAGCCTACTAGAATGTGGCCACAACAAAAGCTGTCTAAACGCCGACCCTCTGTTTACTGTATATTCAGTCACAATGCTCATTATGTCACAGCTTTCTCTTACCTCACAGCCTACACCTTCCCTGAGATGCCCTGATATGTTCCTGTTACTTGCATCATTGGGATGTGAACAGTTGGTGCCTGATGTGACATTGTGATAATTCAAAGGTTAGATGATTAATGAGTTTAGTTAATGAGTCATAGTTTTGTGTTTAATCTACAAGAAACCCCCTATTACCACCATAAGAGACCTAAAAACTAGACTAAAGAACCATTCTACGCACTATAGGCCTTCCACACTATGTTGTTTTGTAGGCTACATGTTCAAAGTGAAAACACATGTCACTTTGTGTTGAAAAGTGGTGGGGACATTATTGCTCAGATTAGGGGTGTGACAATACACTTAGCTCAGGAGACGTGAAGATGCAGAATATTGGCTTCACGAGAACAACAGGAGAAGATATTTTAACATTATTTTGAAGAAATATTCAATGCTGAAATATATGATTCAGGGGTCAGGAGATTTTGAGCATATATCACATAATTCCCTGTATTCTGGGGACTTTATCTGCAGCAATGTATGGAAATGCCTTTATTTATATAAAGGGAAACACAATCCAGGTGGCAATTCAAAATATAAATTTGTAATATATAATAATATAATTTGGACAGTGCACAATTATTTCTTCTGTTGGCTGTTTAAATTCTTATTGTGCAAATAACCCTTTCTTGAAGCACTTTCACTTTTTAATTAACATTTCATGTTGCAAGCTACTTTTCAGGACATTTTTAACAAATTATGCTTTTAAAAAATGATGCTGACAAAATGTCCCCAGCGTCCACAGTGTAAATGACACCTATGAAACCACATACATATTACATACCCACAACAGTGTGAATAATCTCGCATTTCTATAGTTCAAATAGGTTTTATGACTGCAGGTAACTTTTCTAAAACTAGGTCTCATGAAATGAACACCCCCCTTCCCAAATCAGTCTTCTATTAGACGTCTAAAACTAGTGATGCAACTTCTGTAAGAACCTCAGATGGCAAGGTGGGAGGAATATTCATGGTTCTCGAGAAGATAACAGAAGAGGGAGAGGGAGGGAGAGAATGAGTGAGAGAGCCAGGCCTGCGTGTCTGTGGGAGGGGAAGGGGGCTCGTGGAGAGGAAAAATCAAACCCACCCAGAGCTCTTCATACGTCACCGTTCGCATCACAGATGTTCCCACAGACACTCAGTGTGGGCTGTGGGCCGAGGCGTGTGGAGAGCCAGTATGGCTTCAATTGGCTTGTTTTCTGGAGTGTGCGCGCGCATTTTAATATGTAGGCCCGCTGCGTGCGTAAATGAAGACTTGAACACTGCGGTGGTATTTCAAAGTAGTCCTCTGAGTAGATGCTGGGCTCGAGTTAGCAGCAAAAACAATAAATGAAATAGCTGCGTGACGCTCGTGAGTGCAGGAAAGATGCTCTTGGTTTTGACATCATACATATTCGTGAATATTTTATGGAAAATAAAACATTTTAGGCTACTCCTTCGACGCCACTGATGCTGTTAGGCACAACTGATATGGTATCAAACATATATATGAAAACTGTTGAATAAAACAAAAACAGGCACTCAGCTAAAAAACAATGGACATCCCCTGAAACATAGGTTTCTTGATAAAAAGTCACAGAAAAGGAGAACTTGTGTGGGAGTGCCTGGTTCCGTTTCCACGTGCAAGGCATAAAAATAAGGGAGTTGTTATTGATGGAAATTGGGCTGTTTAAATACGTGTCAGATAAAAAAGAGGTTAAAAACTTCCTCTCCAAAACAGCTTGAGGTGAGAGTGCGCTCAAAAACCGCAACCTTCACTCCTAGACTCTTTTGAAGTGGTTCTCGTGAGTACTGAGAGAGAGAGAGAGATATTTTTTCAGTCTCGGTCGGCTGTCTTGTTTACTTGTACGTCACAGACTGCTTTTAGAGGACAGAAATCCCCCTCTAGTTTTACCAGACCAGCTTTTGTACAACTTCAACGCCCTCGGTCAACGGTCACCGAAAGCATTGACTTTTTTAACGCACTTTTCTGTCTTCACAGATTTTCCTGTGGGAGCAATTAGTCTCCCTTCCGTCACCTCCCCACCTCATATTATCATTATAATCTTTGTTTTGTGCATCTGGGGGCCATGAAAACGTTTAGTGACCCCTGGCTAAGTGCTTAATGACTCATTCACGTCTACTTAACGCGGGACTTTTCCCCCTGTATTCATCTTTTGAGCCCCTGGTGCCGCACATACTTAGCCTCTGATGCGTCCCAACAGAATGTTGTCCTTGGCAGCGCGCACATCCCCATCCATCCACACAGATGCTCCTGCGCGCTATACGCCAACTCTCGCCCACCGCTCTGCCAAGCGGCGTGGCATTTTGAGACGCCCACAACATTCCCGAAGCCACTGTCACTTCCACCCGTGTGCAATCTTTCAATTATACTGACACCTCAAATATGCAACCCCCCCCCCCTGATTTAAAAATGCGTTTGTGTATTTATGTGGATTCATTTATAAGCCTCATAACACAGGTCGTGTTTCACGGTGAAAATTAGGGTTTTAAATTATCACAAACGCCACAAAAGTGAGGTTTTTATCTATGTCCTGGTGTCCTTAAGCAACTGCGA